ATTTGTAAGAGACAAAGATTGGAGACCCTGCGAGTGTCTTGGGATGGCAGGCAGGTGTTTGCGCCCTGAGCCTGGCAGCTGGCAGGGGCAAGAATTCAGCTCCTGACACACACCTGAGCTCAGACGAACCTCCAAGTACGCGAGGGAAGACCCAACCTCAAAGACACATACCGCATAATCCGGGAGCACAGCCTTCGTTCCGCTGCCCACCTGCGGACCTCCGCTTCCAGAGATCAGATGGGGGCTTCCAGAGGCTAGGGACAGCGTCAGAGCACCCCTGGAGACCCCGTGGGTCTGGGCCTCAGCAGGTGCACGGAGTGTCCTGTGACATCACACAGAGCTGCATGCGCATGCTGGGGGGCCTGAAGAATTGGACTCTGAGTGTGTCCTGTGGGCTGTCCCAGTGTCCGTCCCGCAGCCATGGGCGGGGGGGAGGGTGGCAGTTGGCATTGGACAAACAGGAAACACTTCACAATCTCCTTGACTCTACAGCTGACCCCGGACAGCACAGGTTTTAACTGCGCAGGTCCATTGATAGATCGATTTCTTCTGATAAATACAGCACGGAAGTATAAATGTATTTTTCCTTCCTTATGATTCCCCAAATAACACTCATTCTCTGGCTTCCTTTATTGTGAGGATATAGCATCAACTACAAAGACCATGCAAGATACGCGCTCATCGACTGCTGTGCTATCGATAAGACTTCCAGTGACAGGTGCCTTGCAGGGGTGGGGTCAGGGGGTCCCAAGTCGTATGGCCCTAACCTGAGCATTGTGGGAGCACCAACTGTGGATCTCAAAACTGGAAGGTAGAAGTCGACCCAGAAGCTATCCCGGAGCCCGTTTGTTCAAGCATGGAAGACCGCCCCTGGGGTGTGCGCGGCTCCCTCCAGGTCCCCCCCACCAGCTGGCCAGCGTGGCTCCTGCTTTTCCAAGGGGCCAGCTAGCAGGGCCCCCCCGAGAAGCCCTCTTTGCACAGGCTCTGCCCAAGCTGCCCCCTCCCTCACCAACCCCGCGGGGCCCCTTCACCTACCACACCCCCAACACCCCCAGGTTCTCAGGACCCAAGCGGACTGATAGAGGCTCCGCTGAACTCTGAGCAGAGATCTGCCAGGGCTGCAGGGTGGGCGGGGGTCTGGACCTTGGTCCTGGATCAGCGGGCGACCACCAGACAGGCCAGGCTATGCTGGCTTGGGCCTGGCAAGGCGCCCCAGGGCAGAGGCAAGAGCCATTGGGGCGATCCCTCCAGCTCCACTGGGCAAACACATATGCAGGGGTTCCCGGGACTGCGGGGACCAACACGCTCAGGGACTTGACACCAAACCTATCATTAGTTCTGGAGGTCGGAAGTCTGAAATCAAGGTGGGGGGAAACATTCCCTTGCCCGCTCCACCTTCAGAGCACATCACCCCAACCTCCCCAGCTCTGACCCTGAGCCTCCTGCCCCTTTTATTTTTTAATTTATTTTTTATTTCATTTTTAAAAAAGATTTTATTTATTTATTCATGAGAAACAAAGAGAGAAAGAAAGAAAGAAAGGGAAAGAAAGAAAGAAAGAAAGAAAGAAAGAAAGAAAGAAAGAAAGAAAGAAAGAAAGAGGCAGAAACATAGGCAGACGGAGAAGCAGGCTCCCTGTGGGGAGCCCGATGGGGGACTCCATCCCAGGACCCCGGGATCACGCCCTGAGCCAAAGGCAGACACGCAACCGCTGAGTCCCCTAGGTGCCTGCCTCCTGCCCCTCAAGACGCCACCTGTGCCGACACTGGGCCCCTGGATGATCCAGGAGCACTCCTGTCACCTGCTCTGCTGTCTTTGTTACCACCTGAGGGGTCACAAGCCAAGTTCTGGGGAGAGGGTGTGATCTCTGGCAGGCTGAGGGTGGTTACACAGCCTGGCCCCGCCTCCTGCAGCCCCCTCGTGGGGGGGGTCGCTCTGGGCAGCTCCTCCCCCAGCCTGGGTGGAAGGGCTAGGACAGAAGGCACCCGAAGCAGAGCTCCACCCCTGTGCCCTCAGCCACATCTGGCCAAGTCCTCCCTGTGCCCGAGACCCTAAATCCTGGAGCCCTGTCTGCACTAAGCACCCAAGGCCCTTCCCCCCTGCCACGGGGCCCGCTCTACCCCCGTGGCTGGGAGAGGCCACCCTTCCAGAGGCAGGTCCTCAGGGAGCCTGTGGTAAGCAGGTGGCGTTGTGGGACCGTGGTGGTCACAGCCGCAGCCCCCCAGCCCCCACTGCACCCCTCAGTGCCAGCTGGCTCTCTAGCCCATGAGTGTGCCCAGAAACCGGAATGTGAGTAAAATCTCCGTTTGAAAGCCAGCAGCAGATGAAAAGGTTGCTGAACGGGCACAGAGCTCCACACTGGGAACGCGAGACAGTTCTGCGGATGGACATGCTAGGTGCAGCTGAACGTCGCTAAGATGGTGAGCTCCGTGCTCGAGTCACAACATCCTTCCTAGGCGGCGTGGACCTCCTGCCCGCCAGGCCCCCAGGTCACTTCCTGCCCCGAGGTGGGGGGGGGGGAAGCAGGCCTGAGCCAGGGGGTAGGCCGGTCCCTGAAGGGGGTGGCAGGGCGGGGCCGGGGCTCTGCAGGGTCCAGGGTGGGTGGGAGGTCCCGCAGCACCCCCCGCCCGGTGCTGAGCCCTGTGTGGGACCATCTTGCCAGCAAGGAATTGGGAGCGAAAGGCCCTGAGGCTTGGGTGCGGTTGGGGAGCCCCTCTCTGGGTGTGGAGGCCTGGGGGGGGTCACAGCGCCCCTGGATGGGTCAGTGGGCGCCCCTGCAGGACTTGCTGGCCAGAACACTCGGCCTACTCCTCGCCACCAGGCACGGGCCACTGCTCTCCGGCACACATTGGAAGCGACTCCCTGTGGACTCCAGGAATTTGGGGTCAAATCCAAGGCCTGACCCTGGCCTTCAAAACCTGAGCTGGCTGGACCTCTCCATCCCCTTGTCCAGGCCCTGGGGCGCAGAGGGCACTGGGGGCTCCACCTGGCCTGCCGCATCCATCCCCAGTCCTGCCACTTGCCCAGGTCACCCAAGGTTCTGCTGACTGAGCTGCTTACCTCAACTGTAAACATGGGGCGAGTGCACACCATCCTGCCATCGGGGGCGTTTTCGATCCCCGCAGAGGCCTAGGGGGTGCCCAGGATGCCCCTCGTGACCTCTGAGGACGTGTCTGGTGCTCTAGGAACACAGCCTGCCTCCCTGTAACCCAGAGAGCTGACACACCCACCCAGAGAAGCAGGGCGCCTGGCCTGCAGGGCAGCCCCAAGCCAGCAGGTATCCCCAGAACTTTACAGCAGCTGCTGTGGGAGGCTGGGTGGCCAGGAGGCGGGGCCGAGTCCTGGCACCCTCCCCACCAGAGGCCGTCTCCAGCGGGCTGCCCCCAAACCCTACATGCTACATCTTCGCAAGATGCCCAACGGCCTGGGGGTTGAAATGGGAGGAGTCCAGAGCACCCTGTCTGGGTGAGGGAGGACCCCAGAGCTGTGTGGGGCCCCGCCTGGCCCCTCTCCCACAGCCCTGTGGCTGCTTCTGCAGCAGAGCTCCTCTTTGCTAGGCACCCGCCGGCCTGGGGTGGCCTGCTGGGCCCGGACAGCTGACAGGTTGTCCCCAGGGCTCCTACGCGTTTCGGCTAGAGCACCAGCTCCTGCTTGGCAGCCCCTCCGTGGCACCTGCCAACCCAGACCCTCTGCAGGCCAGGCACATGGTGGAGGGCTCCTAGGCCCCTGCTGTGGGCCACCAGGAGACCCTCCCGCCCAGGCCATGTGACGGCCCCGACCTGGGCAGCTTCTCAACCACCTGCCCTGTAGGAGAGCCTGCCCCAGACCGCCAGCCGCCCCACCGCTATACCCACACCAGGACCCCTCCTCGGGGAGAAGCACCTGGGCTGTTGGGGATCAGTCGTCAAATGACGCCAGGGGCCTACCCCCCGACCTGCAGAGCGTCTGCTGGTGCCAGGCCTGTGCCACACGGATGGCAGAGGCAGGGAGGCCCCACTGGAGCAGCATGCGGGGGGGGGGGGGGTACAGCTCCAAGCTCCAGCCTCAGCTCAGGGGCATCCCTTCCTCTGTGGCCCTCACACCGTGTTTGCATCGAAACGTCCCTGAGTGCATCTGGCTCTGGCTAAACAGTGTGGGAAGCAGCATGACAGAGAAGGCGGGAGGCCCGGCCTGGTTTCGTCCTCCATGCTCGCCAGACGGGAGACCACCCAGCCGGGACAGCCCCGGCAGGCTGCTGTGCCTGCCGTCCAGGCCAGGTGGGACTGACTCACCACGTGCCCCCCAACCAGCTTGGGCTCCAGTGTCCGTGGGCCTGGTCCTCAGGGCAAGGGGAACACACAAGGCGGTACCCGGGTCCGGGCTCAGCGGCAGAGGGCAGGCCAGGGCAGCTGTCGGGCTGCACGCAAGCCGACCTCTGGAGGCCAGCCAGCCCTCAAGAATCACACCCAGGGAGAGCCCCTGGTGCTTGAGCAGACGGCTGAGCGGGGAGCAGAGCCTGAAATGACAGTGTTACCCCCCCACACCCACCGAGGCTGGGACAGGTGCCAGCGGGAGGTCCACGGGAGCGCCAGCCTGCTAATGCCACCACGCAACCTCCATTCACTTGAGAAGCACCGCCAGGGCCTGTCCACAAGCACGGTCCCTGGGACAGGGATGCAGCCGACGTGCTGTGCCCGGGAGGGTGCAGGCAGATGGGTGAGCCCAGCACGCGGGGGTGGGGTGGGGTCCTCTGGCTAAAGCTTCGGGATCCTGTGCTCACCTCAGCTTTTCAGAACTTGCTAGAAACCCATGTCGGCTCTGCAGCCACAATCCTTTTTTCTTAAAAGCTCATCAGATTTCTGAAAACCACAGGTTAGAGCAGACACAGTTCAGAAGACACTGAGGAATCCCCTACTTTGGCGTCTGTTTTGTACACGAGCCAGGGACCTCGTGGCTGGAGTTCCGGAAACGCACACACACAGAGAAGGGTCTCAGAAGCAAGTGACACACATGGACGCCAAAGTGCTTAAATACAGATTTATTGCAAACCAACACTGGACAGGGGACTTCGTGGGCGGGCACCCTGGTCTCCCCGGACCTTGGCTGACGGAGCTCAGTGGCCAATCTGCGGCGGCCGCGTCTGGAGAGAGAAAACACGCAGGCAGCACCGGCTCCAGGGCCCAGGCCGGCAGCAATGGGCAGAGGACACCCACGAGGACGGCCCGCCATCGGCCGCATGGCCCGGTGCCCCAGCCCGCCACTCTGACGCTGGTGAGCCGCTGCCACGGCAGGCGGGGTGGGCAAAAACGCAACACTGAAAACGTCAGAGAAAACGACGGACCATAGAGTCCATGACTCCCCAGTCTCCCGAGTAGCTGGGGTACAGTGCAAGCCCCACCTCATCACACCAGGAGACCCCGACAAGACCATCGAGACCGGTTCTCACACACATGTGTGCCATGAGAACCCTGGGACATGGGACAGGTGTGCAAATCCTGGGGACCCTGAGGATGGGTCTCAGCTCCACCAACAGGCTCCGGCCCAACTATGGAGGCAGAGCTCTGCGCCCCCTTGGCGACGCTCCTCCCAGCCACCTGGTGTCTGCACCTCCTTCGTGGCACAAGAGCCACCCGATGCTTCCCAGGGGCTGCTTCGGACATACACAGGAATCCCCACTCACTTCTGGCCACCTCGAGCCTCAAACCGGCCCCCACACGACTGACGAGTGAGCTCCCGCCTACTCAAGCCGTTTGAAGGGGGCCGTTTCTGGAGGAACCATCGCCTAGAAAGGAGTCCTCCTCAGCCCCCAGGACAGCCCCCGAGGGAAGGTCCCAGGAAACCTGCCAGCTGACAGCCCCCAGAGCAGCAGGCACGTGGCCTGCGGGCCTGGGGTGGCTCAGGCCCCATGGGCAGAGCAGAGGCAGGAGGAAAGGCCGTGGCTGTGTCTCCCGAGGGCACCTGGTTGGCTCCCCAACAAGGACCAGGCCCCACAGAGGACAGTTCCTGCTGTGTCTGTGACCACTCGGGACCATGTCCCCACATCCAGCAGCGCTGACCAGAACCCCCAGTCTGTTCTCCCTGACCGGGCTGAGCATCCAGCGGACGCGCACACACACCAAGCGAGAACGCACACACAGGTGTGCAGGAGAGATGAAGGCGAGGACCCTCGCGCCCCCCTCGGCAGCAGCCGGCCCAGCACCCGCTCCCCGGGCCCAGCACGAGGAAAGCAAGCAGAGCGTGTGCAGCAGCAGGAGGAGAGCGGGTGGCCGGTGTCCCGCTCGCCCCGTGCTGCTCCCGACAGTCTGGAGACGCAGGGCCGGGCGCCGCGGGTTCACCCTTGAAAGAAAGGAGGGCAAGGGCGAACCCGGCAGCGAGTCCCTGGTGGGAGGGAGCCGGGGGCACGGCCGCAGGCACGTCCTTTCCTCTGGGCATTAAAACTGCACAGCCCCCGGGGAGATGTTGAACATGGCCGGGTCGAATCGTTGGCCTCGGAAGGGGGAGCCTTCGGCATCCCACCCCTTCTTCAGCATCTCATGGACTTTCTACAAACAGAAAACAGACACAGAGGTTAACCACGCGGCCCAGAGCACGACTTGCTCCGCCGCCTCCACAAGAGGATCGGGGTTGTCGCAGACACCGTGCAGGGCGCCCCCGCACACAGCACAGGGAGAAAGGCCCGGTGTCCCTCCTGCCCGAGGCCACTCTGCCTCACAGAACCCGGCGCTGTGGCCGTGAGTCTGGCCCACCGTAGCCGGTCACTGCCCACTGCATGCACACGGCCACGCTGAGGGCATCCACCCCTTCCTGCCAAGCCCCATCCCCATTGGCCACTCTCTGGACAGGAGCCCCAGGGGAGACCTAACCCCTGGCGAGGACGGTGTCCAGAGCCACCCATGCAGTGAGGGGACCTCTCTCCAGGCCTGCTCCCCACACGGGCCGCCTGGGCCTCCTCAGAGCACCAGCCAGTCCCGCTGACCTTCTGGCCCCACGCGGCCTACTTCCCCAGGGGCCTGCTTTCCTCCAAAGGCCACAGCTACATCCCCAACAGTATGACACCGGCACCTCCGGGTATCCGGCTCCCTCCCTGCTAGCTCCCAGCAGGGGCCTCCTCCTGCCTCCACACTCTTGTGCACCCGACCCTGCTCCCCTCACAGCTGTGTGCCAGGATGCCCCATGTTTGCACACACTCCTCCCCAAGTTCCTGGGGAGTCCAGAGCGGTCCTAGGCAGCAGTGCTGGTGCTGGTCATTCAAGAGTGGGTGACCCGAGCAAGGGGCACACCCAGTCCGTGTCTCCTGTGCGTCTGCTCCAGGTGCCCAGAGAGCACTGCTCGCCCAGCATTCACGTCCCCCAGGGCCCCATGCTGCCCCCCACAACGGCAAGTCCTGCTGGAGTCTGGGCCACTCGGGGCACAGAGATCTGTCCTCTAGGCTGCAGCATCTTTAAAGCTCTTCCTTGGACCCTTCCTCCTCAGCTGCCTGTCCTGGGCCTGGCGGCAGAAGTCTCCTACTCCCCTCTTGGGCCTGGATGCCTGGCCACTTCCAGGCGGCGGCACCTGACCCCCTCCACGGGGCCCAAGCTCACAAAGCTTGCGTCTGGTGACTGCAGGCCGCTGGCACGTAAGGGACAGGGACAGCTACCCAGTGCACACAAAGGCGAGTGCATGCTCAGCAGTGACAGCCAGAGACACAGCCCGTGAGGCACCCAAGGTCCCCCCAACAGGTCACCTCAGCCCCTCCAGCCCTGTAGGTCCAGCTGGTCACGGAGCCTGGCTGAGAGAAGGCTCAGAGGCTCAGGCCCCAGCCCTGCTGCCCGAGCCACCGGGCTACCCTGACCACGAGCTGGTGCCCGACGCTCCTCTCAGGGCCACTGGTGGAGCCCACGACCCAGCCCGCCCTGCCCACCTGGCGCAGCCAGAGCTCTTGGAGTGAGCCCCGCAGGAGCAAGGCCATCTGAGGACAGGGTGGCAGGAGGACCCCCGCGGTGCCCCCAAAGCACCAGCAGGACCCAGTGAGGCCCCCAGAGTAGCACTGGTGCCCCCACAAGGCTTGAGCTGGCCAAGCCTGTCACGCTGGAGAACCAAAACTAACCTGGGAAGAGCAACACTCTCCCCCCGGAATAGCCAGTCTTGGGAGCGCTGACACACGCACAAGCGCAGGAACATGCATGGCGAACCCTCTTCCCTGCCCTCAGGCCGCGCAGCCTCGGCCTCTGCACACACGGGCCCTTCCTGCCTTTTCCACGCTGGTCAACCCGGACTTCTCAGGCCTCTGGGATTCCATGGGGACTCGGGAGGATTTTTCCCATGGGCCCCGCAGCAGGGCTGAGCCTGGGTCCCCACAACTCTGCCCAGGGTCCTCTGGGGGGGGGGTGTGGGGGAGAGGGTCCTTGGAGACACACACGCCCCCCCCCAGATGCCCTGCAGAGCTAGTCACATGCCATGCCCCACGCCTGTGTGTACCAGCACCCCTTCCCGGACGGTGACAGGTGACCAGGCCAGGGCCGCCTGCGAGGATCCCACAGGAGCGCCCCCTCCCCTCCGTGCCCCCAACATGCCCCCGGCTGCCCCTGCCCTTCTCACCAGCTCGTGGCTCTGTGGCTTGCCTTGCAGCTTCTGGTGGTAATCGAAGGTGAGCCTGTCCAGCACGGCGTGCTCCTCCTCGTCCACTGTGGCCATGGAGCGCTCCTTGTTGATCTTGTCGATGTCAATGTGCTCCTCGCCCTCCAGGACAGCGCTCCACCAGTACTCACCCACCTTGTTCAGGCTCACCTGGGACATGTGGGCAGACAGGGCTCCGTGTGGGGGTGGCACTGGTTCAGGGCTCGGGGCCGTCGGCCTTCACCCCTCACCAGGTTCTGAAGCCAAAGCCCCGTGCGCATGAATACCCCACATCTGTTCGGCTGCCAGGACCCCAGCCCAGCCCCCACCCCATCCTCCCTGCACTGCTGGGGACACTCGGCCCCAAATAGGAGCCTCTACCCACACTCTGGCCCCGCCAGCTCGCCAACTATACACGTGAGGGCCTCCCTTGCTTCCGGCATGGCACCCAGGCCAGGGTAGCACGCGGGCAGGGTGCAGGCTACACGCCTCCCTGTGGGCGGCCCACTGTCTCTCACACTATCCACCTAGCCTCCAAAGGCAGGAAACGCCCAGTCACGCCCCAAAGGCTACAGGGCAAAGCGGGCAGGACAAGCCTGCAGCTGGAGCAGCTCTCACTCAGGAGCACCTGGAGAGAGAGTTACTGGCTGGAGGGCAATCGTGACGTGACAGATCCGAACCTGCCCATCAGTGACATATGTGAGGACACCATGCCCCCTAGCCCCCCAGCCCCACCTCACCCAGGGTCTGTCTGGCCCTGGCCACCGCAGCAGGGCTCCATCCTCATCTCAGAGAAGGACTTCGGAGGTGGGCACAGGTACAGGGCAGGCCACACAGCGAGAGGGCATCCAGGTGACAGCATGGGATTCATGTCACCATGGCAGAAATAATCCTGCCCTTGCTGACTACCCCAGTGGGCATGGGGCATGCCGACGGGAGGGCTGAGACGGCGGGCTTGGAGCACCCCTGCCCGCTCGCTCGGCAGGTGAAGGACTTCTTCCTGCAAACGCCACAGTTGACGTCTGGGTGGATTTTGTTTCCAGATGCCCTGCTCAGCTGGCGCCTTACTGACCTTACTCCCCAGTTTGTGTGGGGACCTGACCCGGCCCCCCAAGACCCCACGTAAAGAACACAGCCCACCCTCTCCAAATGCAAATCTGCGTTCCAACGCAACAACTACCTCCCAAGTGGGAGTGCATTCCAAGGCGCTTACAGGCCAGTGTGCCTCTGGGACCCAGAGAGCAGGCCCTCCGGCATCACCCTTGCCGGGACCGGGACCGCTCCAAACAGCCAGAAGTCAGCGCCTGCTGCTGACAGGGTGCAGAGGGCAGAACAGCCACTGCAGCCACTGACCACCAGAGGGCACAGAGGTGTCAGCCCACACCACCGGGGGCCCCACTGCTGGCCCTTCCCACACACGGCCTTCCTGGGCATGATGGGCTGACCCTGCAGACAAGGAGCCTACTGGGCCTTGATGCCTGTGTCTCCCGTGTCCCCAGGGCAAGTCTTCACGGACCCTTTGCAAACCCAGCAAAAATGAAGATGAGCAGAGCATCACCTTTACTAAAAATGTGTTTTGAGGTAAAATGTAATAATCACTCTACAGTGAACTCAGTGCGCTGAGCGCACACAGTGTTGTGCAACCACCACCTCCATCTGGTTCAGAACACTGTCCTCACCCCAAAAGGAGTCCCGTGCCCACGAGCAGCCCCTCCCCACTGTCCTCATGCTTCCCCATCCTCCCTGTGCACGTCAGGTGTCCTGCTGTGCCCCAGCTTCTTGTACTCAGCGTGGTGTCCTCACGGTGCGTCTGGAGGCCAGGGAGGTACTCTGGGAACAGCGCTCTAGGACCAGGTCTCGGAGTTGGATGGGGTTACATCTGGTTCTGCTTTTTCACTTTAACATTGTTACTTCCTTAAAAACCAAGTTTGCAGAGATGTGGTTTTGGATTTAATGAAATTCACCCATCTGAGGGCACATCAGAGTCCTGACACACATGTAGCCATGCTGCCAGCAGCCAGTCACAGGGGGACGTGGCTCTGGTTGCATATCCTTCCCTGTGCTCATTTGCCATCTTGTTTTTCTGAACGTTTTATTTGGGATAATTTCAAACATACCCATGTGTCTCTGCCCAAGGCTCCCCACCAACATGCTACCCCTGCTCTGTCACTGCATGACAGAATACGTTTAAGGACATGCATAACACGCAATAAATTACAGGATGTTTTCGCCTGAACCACCTGGACACAACAAGTGCCTCCTTCCTGAGGAAAGTTTCAGCCCACCTTCCCTCCTGCAGAGGATCCAGGCCAGGGTCCCAAATGCACCTTAGTGGTCCTGTCCTCGCTCATCTGGAACATTCCACAGCTTTGCATTTAGAGACCGTCCTTCATCTGGGGTCTCATGTTCCCCTCAATTGACTGCGGGAAGCACCCCCAACAGCATAATGCACAGGTGACACCATGTCCCGCCCAGCATGTCACCACATCCACTGGGCATACCTCCTTGAGCCCACCTCCCCCACAACAGTGGCAGGAGCCCCTTACCCACTGTCAGCACCCACGCCTGGGTGCCCAGAACCTCAGTGGCTCCCATTCATTCCCATCCCTAACTATGCAAGTGTTCAGAGCATTCTAGCTTGACTGGTAACCTGCTAACATGCCCCCTCCTTCCCTGGCCTCCCTCTAGGACCCTCACAGTGACCTGGTCCCAGACCTAGAGTCAGGTTCCCAAAGCGTCCTCACAGAAACTTCGAACCCCACGTGAACAAGCTCTGCACCCCACAACCTGTGCGATGACTCAGCAGCCTCTGCCTCCCCCTCCTCCCCTCGTGGCAGAAGCAAACATGGCGGCCACGTGTCTGCTGAGGAACGGTGGCTCCTTGTAGCACTCTCCAGACCATGGGGGCCAGGGAGCCATCCGTGAGAGCCGTGGACAGTGCTTCCAGGGAGGTGCCTTGAAACGGGGTCAGACGACAGGAACCCACTCTCTGCAGGTCCCTCCGAAAGGAGGACGTGGGTCTGCAGCCAACCACCAACCTCAGAGCTTGCCAGGCACAGCACCTCAAAGGGCAATCTCCTGGTGTCTTGTGCTGTCAACGAACTTTTTAAGCTTACGAATTAGAGTGCTGTATGGGCCAGGACACGGGTGTGGTGGTGGTGGGGTATATGGCATGTGCTGGAAGTAGGAGCAGCCAGGTTGTGCTATCTGCACTCTCCTCTCGCCTCGGGATGGAGGGACAGCCCTGCGTCCCCTGGGAACACATTCCTGCTGCCCTGGGCCACCTACTTCTGCCCCAGAGCCACAACTCCTCCCTGCTGGGACTCAGGGACTGGCTAGGGGCAGCACCACAGCACTGAGTGCCTCAAGAAACACCCAGGGTCCTGAGAAAGGAGAGCACTGAAGGCCAAGCGCCTGCAATTCATTCCATGGACTGGTTTGCAGGCTTCTGGTGCTCGCCAAGTTTGACGTTATCAAACTCACATCTGGGACAGATGATGCACTGTGACTCTGGTGGCCGCCAGCAAGAGACAGCACCAGGAGAGCACTTTCCGAGAAGCACAACCTCACCAGGAGACTGAGACGGACAGACGAATGAATGCAGGCAGGCCGGTCAAGGTAAGTTAGGATCAGTGAAGCAGCGCTGGCGGGCATGCTGGGACCTGGCCACCCCACGGACACATGGCACAGGAGAATGTCCTCCAGCATGCAGCCAAGCACTACAGCGAGCCTGCAACTTCACTTCTGAGAACTGAACTTGAGGAAATCATCTCAATAAGTCATCCGAGAATTGGTGGGGGGGGGGCATGGTTCGTGAATACAATACATACAATATTCTGGGTGAGCGCCGAGGCCAAGCAAGGACAGGCCCAAGAACACCCTTGCACCTGCTGAGCACCCCGATGCCCCATCTGGGGGGCGGCCTCCACCTGGGGTGCTCAGCATGGAGCACCCACCACAGCAGAGGGGCCGCAGCACCACCTGGAGGGGGAAATGAGGACAGCGTGCCACGGCGCTTCTGGGACAGCGTGGCACGGGGGAGGCGCGCTGACTTCAAGTCTCTTAACTCTCTTAACCGGGAAAGGAGTCTGCCTGAGAGGCAAGAAGCCTCCTTTAACATTCTCGAGTGTGGGAGGGAGGGAGGCAGAGCTGTCATCCGGTTTTAGCTGCCACCCCTGCCTGCTCTGAAAGCTTGCCGGGCGTGTCTGATGCGCATCCACTCAGGCAATGAGGGTGGCTGGGAAGCAAGTAGCATGGCTCCCTGAGAGGTCAGAGGCATGGACCAATGACTCTGGTGAGGTAACAGGCACCCCTGGGGTCGCCCCCCATGGTCCACGAGGCTCTCACCACCTACAAGGCAGCCAGGGGCAGCCAGGGGCTTTTATTCTCCATCTGGAGCCCAGAAGTCCAACATGCAAGTGCTGCAGCAGGGCCAGGCTCCCTTTCTAGGTCTTCCCAGTGTCTGCCTGTCTTTACATCACTCCTGTCTGTGTCTTCCTCTGTTTCCAACCTCCCTTGTTCGCTCATAAGGTCCCATTTGCTGGTTCCAGGCTCTGGTAAAGACCCCGGGGCCCTTGACCGTGTTCCTCAGCAGCCCTGGTGCTCAGCACAGTGCCCAGCCCTGAACTGCCAGTGACCCACAGACGTCTAGGGATAGACCAACCCCGGCTCTCAGCCTCACTAGAAGGGTCAGGAATGGAGCTCCTCTGTGGCTAATGGAACCACCGGAGCCAGGCAGTGCTGAGCGGAGCTGAGGCACGCAGCAGGTGAGGCGGCCCAGGCAGCCCCATCTGTCTCCGATGTCCGAGGGACGTGGTGCTTGTTCCCAGCAGCAAATCCAAGGAGGGTCTTCACGCATCAGAGCAAGACGCCCGCCTAGCTATGGTATCATCTCAGATACGTGACCCCAAATGTCACTGACAAATGAAGCCTAGAATACAGTCCGTGGTGAGGAGGGAAGGCAGGGAGAAACCCTACATTCCCTTGGAAGTGCACATGCCGGTGGCGAGGCCCTGACACATGCAGTGCCAGCTGCTGACAGTCAAGCCACTCTAAGGGCTCCCACGTGGACCCTGCTGGCAGGAGGTCAGCGGAAAAACTTGCAGAAGTCATGTTCATGGGCAGTGCCAAGTACACTGCCGCCGCGGTCAGCTCCGCATGGCTGAGCTCCTGAGCACCAGGCACTGGGCAAAAACAAACTAGAAAAGTGAATGGCAGCAGGGCACAGCACGAGAGGACCAGAGGGGCCACCCCCTGGCCATGCACGGGCCGCCCCCCCCCCACCTCCTCCCCACCCTCTCCAGGTTGCCCTGCAGGTGGAAGGTCCACAGCGAGGAAACAGGCCGGTTCTGGAGCAGAGGTGTAGCTCCACCTCATGCAAGCCGCATCCCTGTCTGTAAAGCATGTTTCCAGAGAGTAAAGTGCATTACCAGGCACCTCGTGGAGCCCAGTGCGAGTGCGCTCAGAAGAGGCCACTGGAATGATGAGCTAATGGCCCGCCATGAGCCACAGTCACGCTCAGGCCCTCACACACATCACACACAGAGGCGCCACATGGCTGCGAGGAAGGCAAAGTCAGCTCTACCAACCAAAGCTCCTACAAGATGAGGTACCCGGAATCACCAGAGCCACGTTTCCACAGCAGTAATGGAAAGGACACCGGTGATGACCCTGACAGACACCAGTGCAGTGGCTGGGGGCCTTCAGAGGATCAGCAAGCACTTGGCCAGTCCGTCCAGGCAGGGAGGGGGGGTTCCATCATCCCGGAGGCAGCATCAAGGCAGAGTATGTTCCGATGGCTCCTTGGAGCAAAGCCACCAGGTGCCACTGGGACTCCCTCAGGGGCACTGCTCGGGAGTCACCCCTGCCCCAGGCAGGATGGTGAAGCCCCAGGCCATGGGCAGCGGCACCCTGGATCTTGGTCTTACAGTTCTGCCCACCCAGGATGAGCTGCCAGCTGCTGGGAGGCTGATAGTGGGGGTGGTGAGGAGACCCCGACTTTACCTCCCACAGCCCTGGGAAGCACAAACAAGACCATGACCACGAAGACATGTTGCAAATGAGATGAGCTGGTGATACAAACGACCATGAGGCCGGGGTGTGGGAAGTGGTTCGGGTGAACTGGGGGACAGGGAGGCGTGGCATGATGGGAAGAGGGACTGAGCCCGTATGACAACTGTCACACTCCCACAGAGAGAAGTAAGAATGCTGGAAGGGCAGAGAGGTGCCGAGCAAGGTTTATAACGAGAGCTGGGTAGGCCAGGCCTGGCTACCTCTGAGTACCTGGGAGTGTTCACCAGTATCCCAGTACAACAGACCCCTCTCCGCTCCACAGCCCTCCAGTCAGCATGGACAGGCTGCTCACTGGTGCCCATCCCACGAAGATGAAACTGAAACATTTCTTCCTTTTCCTTCCTTCCTCGTATGAATAAAAGTGTTTCTGTAAAATCCTGAGATTTTTGTCCAAAGACCTGGTCTGTTCCCACTGCCCTGCACCCTCTCTCCAGGCCCGAGTCAGGCACCCTTTGCCATATGAGGCCCCCTGGGCACTGCCCACTGACCGGGTGGCAAGGCCTCGAGGAGGGGATGAGCCTCTGAAGATGCCAGTGACAGGAGCACTTAGGTAGCCCGCTTGGCCTGTGCAGCCCCACGTAGCTCAGTCAGCTGAGACTCCTTTGTCAAATAAGCTGGTCTATCTGAACCTGTTCACTCTGCATCCTCCAGGAGGACATCCATGACATTCAATCTGCCTTTCAATTTTCCACTTATCTGGTTCTGCCTCAGATGTAACCAAATCGCCAGCGAGTGGAAGCCTCTAGGACTGGGAGGAACATCCTGCACAAGCACAGCCGAGCTCTGGGGATGACCCTGCCAGGAGCTCCTGTCGTCACTGTGTGCGGTTTTCCACGTGGGCACAAGGACAGACGACCACTGAGTTTCACATCCCCATTGGCTCCACTTCAGAGAACCAACTGGTAGGACCCCACGCCCCTTTCTCCTCCTGGAGTGCCCACACAGACACCCACACTCACCAGGACGCACTTCCCAGGCTCCAGGCTCCAGAGAGAGCTCTCAGTGTTGACCTTGTGGGTGAATTTCCCTTCCATGAGGACGTGCTCCCCATTCTCCTCCAGCACAGCCACCCGGATGGAGCTGCTGCTGAGGGCCACCGAGACCTGGAACCGAGCAGAGGGGTGTCACTCTGTGCTGTGAAGGTGGCACCCAGTGCGCTCCCAAGGAGAGAACTAGAAGCCAGGCCATCCTGGAAGAAGCAGGCATTCTGGGAGAAAAGAATCCCACCAACCAGGGACACTGGAAGAAGCAGCCTGCGCTCCACGGTCTCCTTCAAGTAAACATCCTGGAAGTTCTGTTTCAACATGGATAATGAAGACGCAGGAAAACTGCTGGTTTTCCACCCAAATCCCTTCTCCGTCAGGGCAGAGCAATTTCCATGGCGGAAAGCAAGCCTGGCGGGCGCAGGTGGGGGTGTGCCTCCCACCCCGTCTAGCTGTCGGCCCCCTGGGTAGCACAGCTCCGCACGTGCCAGGAGGGCCAGGCCACACCCCCACACGCCTGCTCTGCCTCCGTCCCGGTCCATGAGAAGCTGTGCCTTTGCCAGGGACACTGAGGCTGGCTCCTGTGGTTTCATAGTTTCTCTGTTCTCGAGAAACCCAGCCTCTCAGCTCACACTTGTCATGTATAGTCTCTCCCCTCTGCCCCACATCTGTCCCCAGCACCATATGGGAGCTGCTGGGACCCTGGCCTACAGCATCCAAAGCTCGTGAAGCCCTGGACGTTATTCAGATCAGAAACTGGAAGAGGAAAGCAAGTACAACTCCAGTTTCTCTTTCACTTCTTTTTAAACTCTAAAATCTGTGTCTATACTGTAATATCTTTTTATGATAGCATCTGCATAATGCGTGCATTCAATGAACAGACACTGGAAGGGACACCTCAGGCCCAAGGGTGGGGTTCCATCTGCTTTTGTTTGGAGACTACCCTCCCACATGGCTTGTAAGTACTCATTAAACACTCAGAAAGTATTGAACAGAAACTCTAAGTGTCCCAGAATATTCAAGCTCTGCTCCCATAACCTAATTGTATCGTAAATCTCGAGTAAAAGATGGGACAGTGGAGGGGGTGCTGTTCCAGAGTCCCCACCATCAGGTGGCTCTCGGGCGAGAGAGGAAGAGTTCCTGAACCGTGCGGGGAATGGAGACAAAAGCGCTGCTACAGAGCAGAGTGGCCCACAGACCACACTGTGCCCACACACAGGGGCTGGAGCGTCCTGTGGGCACAGCTGCCCCCACACCAACCTCTGGGGGTGTCCTATTCACTCGGCCAGCGTGGCAAAGACACGCACACAAGCCAGCTTTACTTGGCATCCAACAGCCAACTCGGCAGCAGCCCAGCAGACTCCTGGACCACCATGCCTCTGACCATGAACTTGGGCATGTGGTGGAGGCACTCCAGGAGCAAGCTCACTTTAATAAAATCCTCCCCGCTAGCTTTACATAACATGGTTATTTCCAAATTTGGGCAAGTTCTCACAGTGAGTCTTGCACAACAGGGGACGAGCCAAAGCACCGAGGGAACCCTCTTGCTTCCAGTTCAAGAGGTCACTCTGGGACAGGTGACGGTGCCCCAGCCTCTGCGACCCATGGAAAAGACAAAGCAAGCACAAAGAGAAAAATCCCAGACAACACAAGGGAGGAGGAGATGAAGGAGAAGAGTGTGGGGACAGGCAGGACAGAGCAGGAACAAGCGAGTGGTCTGCCGGTGTGCATCTGGGAGCCTTGGCTGCATGGGCAGCTGGCGGGCAGTCAGGTGGGAGGGCAGGAGCGGAGCGGTCAGAGCAGCCCCGAGACCGCAGTGGCATAGACCAAGGGGTCTGTCCAGTACTCTGAGGGGACAGCGTGGGTGGTGGGACCCACGTGCTGTCAGGAAAGCTGCCCCGCTGAGCCCTCAGCAGCTGTAGAGGAGCAGATCTCTGACATAAAACAGAGAAAACCATCCATACCACCCTTATTCAAAAGAATGAGGAAAATATGATTTTTAATTAAAAAACTACCAGGGAACTAAGAATTGCATCCTTAAACCAGCAGCATTTAAAAAAAAAAAAAAAGACTACAGAATTAGGAAAAAAGGAAATTCTAAAATATTTCCAGTATATATCCTTAGAGAGGTGTGAGCGGTGTGACTATGGAACCAAAATGAAATATGAAAATAGAACAATCACACACACCCCACTCAGAATTAAATACACAGAAGCTAAAATAAAATCTGCAACAGAAAGACTGTTAAAGTAAAAAAACTATCAAGATAGAGACAAAGACCAATCTAGGTGATCGGGGTGGCTGGCTAGAAACCACACGCAGCAACAAGACAACACTCCGGAGTCAAAAATGTGCTTTTGGACAAAACCCACCAAGGGCTGAACAGAATGAGGGAAAAAGGACTCACACAAACTTATGGACTCCTAATATTCAAATTATTCAAATTAAGGTCCTAAAAGTTGCAAAGACCAGGGATAAAAGTTCCCTCACAAAGAACCTGAATGGAAGAGATCTCAAGAAACAGTAGCACCGGACATAAGACAAAAGGGAGGCAAGGCCCTCAATCTTCTAAGGGAAGAATTTTTTTAGATTTCCATACACAACCAAACCATGAAATAAATATGTTTTAAATAACTACATTTAAAAAAAGAACTACATTTTAAGACATTCAAGAGTCCTGTATTTACAATATATTGTAAATATATTTTTGAAGGAGCTATAGTTCCTTCAAAACTTGAGAAAGCTCCTTGAGGCTATAGTCCAGCAAAATGAGGGAAAAAAAACTAAACCAGAGGAAGATCTCAGGGGGAGGGAGGGTCAAAGGCACAAACTTCCAGGAAGAAGGTCAATGAGGCCTGGATCTCCTGTATCACATGGTGACCACAGCTCACGACACTGTACCCATGCATGGGAAAGTTACTAAGAAAGTAGAACTCACTCCCATGCATGGGAAAGTTACTAAGAAAGTAGAACTCACTCTTATCACACACACACACACAAAGTATGGTGACAAATATAAACTAAACTTATTGTGGTGATCATTTTGTAATACAGACATCAAAGCGTTGTTATACACCTGAAGCTAATACAGTGTCATAGGTCAGTTATACCTTAATAAAACTAGGAACAAAAAAAGAGAGAAAGATCCAAAAGGGTTCCAAACACACTGAATTTAATCTAGAAGTACGGTGAAAGGAAGCCCCAGGATGGAAGCTGTACAGCAGAACTGAAACATAATTGGTCCAGGTTGGAAGCGGAGGTGAGAGGACTTCAGGAAAAATGATTTCTAGATAATATATTGTACTAGTGAGTCTGAGTGATTTGGACATTATGCTGGAAGAATACTATTTTTTGTAAGATAAAAACAAAAAAAAATACACAAGAAATTTGATGTAAAAATGAAAATAATAGAGTTAACATCTCCAAAAAAGCTCTCATCCAAAAACGCAGGAAGATTATTGGCAAAAATTGTCAAATATGTACTTTTTCTGAACTTTAGAAACTAATCAAGGTTTGTAGGAACCCAGAGAGCGTTTATTCAAGAAAAACAAGCTTTATGACAGCTTACCCTAGACCCATTCTCACTCTGTAGCCCCTTGGCAACCCACATTCCCAGTACAGCCTGGCGGCCATCAGAGGAAGCACAAAGGAGCTACAGTTCCTTCAAAACTTCATTCCCAAAGAACTCTGATTACTTGACCTGTGTGACAGTTCGCTGGAAGACCCCACTTGGTAGGCCGTTTTTAAATGGACTTCAAAAAAGCCTTTTCCCCAGAGAGTGTTTGTTGAAAACAATTAAGAGGCAAGTATTTTAACTTCACAGCTGACTGAAAGTTCATAACAGCTGAGGCAAACAAAAAAAGTTGTGCAATACAATGCCCATGGAGGTTTTGAAAACTTGGGACACATGAATGGGCAGGCTGTGTGCAGGCTCAGAAAAAAACCCTTCAGTAAGGCCCTAACCTCTTACCACTGGCTGACTTTGAGACTTTGCATGAACAAATGAAGGCTAAGGCAGAATTTTCAACTGCTAGGCCTGTTAAAGGCAGGCCCTAATACATACATGGAGCCCCTGGGAAGAGAAATTCACTGGTTCTAGGTCTTTAAGAAAGTCTGTCCAATCATTTGCTGATCACTAAGTTCACCAAGTAGATACTTCATCAGCAACGCAAAATAAAGAATACAGACTTCAGAAAATTAGCTCAAAAAAGTCATCAAATGGGCATCAATGGGTGGCTCAGTGGTTTAGCGCCTGCCTCCGGGCCAGGGCATGATACTATATAGTTCCAGGATCGAGTCCCAGATCAGGCTTCCTGCATGGAGTCTGCTTCTCCCTCTGCCTGTGTCTCTCCTCCACTCTCTCTCTCTCTCTGTATCTCTCATAAACAAATAAATAAAATCTATTAAAATGTATGTATTTTAAAAGTCATCAAACAAGAACTACATCAAGTACCAACAGCAACAAACCATGAGGAAAAGGGAGAATCTGAGTTCCAGAATTGCCACAGTATTATTTAAAATGCCTAATTTTCAACAAAAAATTACAAGACTCACTAAAAACAAAAAAAGATAGCCCATCCACATAGAACAAAAGCAAACAATAAAATCCATCCCCAAGGAAGTCCAGACATGAACTTAACAAAAAGTCTATAAATCAGCTATTGTAAATATACTCAAAAACCTAAAGAAAACCATGTGTAAATAACTAAGGAAAGTATGAGAATAAAATCTCATGAAGAATATTAATAAAGAGATAAGACATTTTTAAAAAGATTTTATTTATTTTTTTAAGATTTTATTTATTTATTCATGAGAGACAGAGAGCGAGAGAGGCAAAGACATAGGTAGAGGGACAAGCAGGCTCCATGCAGGGAGCCCAATGCAGGACTCAATCCCAGGACTCCAGGATCATGCCCTGAGCCAAAGGCAGATGCTCAACCACTGAGCCACCCAAGTGTCCCAAGACACTATTTTTTTTTTTTTTTAAAGAACCAAATACAAATTCTGGAACTTAAAAGTAACTGGGGAAAAAAACTGAAGCAGAAAGTCTACTAGAGGTCTCCAAAGCAAGTCACAGCAGTTAGAAGAAAGAATCAGGAAATCTAAAGACAGGACAATTA